GGTGAGGAGTCTAGCAAGCCAGCTGGGCCCTGGAGCTGGATTCCCAGGCAGAGGGGAAGCACAGCTGAAGGTGGCAGCTGCCAGGAGCTTCTTCTCGGGGAAGGTGATTTTGTGAGGCCTGGAAAGGGTAGACCAGAGCCAGGTGCCCAGGGGAGAGGAGACACTCGAGTAGGCCTGAGAAGGGAGGCCAAGGGCCTGGCCAGGCAGCAGGTACACAGGAAGGTGAGAGTGGACTTCCGGCCAGAGACAGAGGAGCCTAGGACGGTATGTGGGCAGAGTGTGCTCTGAGGCTTGATGCAGGAGAGACAGGTTCTCGGAAGCCTGATGTTAGCACGCTCCATGGTGCCCCTAGACAGACCTGGCAGGGGGATCAGTGGGGTTCGGACCAGCAGGACAAGGATGGGCTTGAGAAGACAAGGAACTTGGTCAACCCCAAGAGTGAGGGAAAGTACAGCCTTCAGCCCCTAATTCCAGTGGCTTCTCGGTGACTTTCTCTCTCTCTCTCTTCTTCCCCACAGAGGTGTCATTCTGCTGTGCCCCTAATGATGCCCCATTGTGGGTCGTTGTCCTGCGGCACGTGGATCTCCCATCAACCCAGCTGCCATTACTGCTACCTCAGCAGCACCTGCTCATGGAGCCAGGGTGCCCAACCCAGTTGCTGCCAGCTGAATGATGCCACTCATACCTGCTGCAGCCTGGACGCTCTGGAAAGCCGCTTTGCAGCTCTCACCCCATAACACTATGTTTACAGCACCAAAACCCCAATATTGTTTTTTGTTTGTGTTTTTTTTTAATTTTGGTATGATTAATATACACTTAAATGAGCAACATTGTGGTTACTAGATTCTCCCCATTATCAAGTCCCCTACATACCCCATTACAATCACTATCCATCAGCATAGTAAGATGCTGTAGAGTCACTGCTTGTCTTCTCTGTCATATACTGCCTTCCCTGTGTTCCCCCCACATTATATGTTCTAATCATAATGCCCCTTTTTCCCCTTCTCCCTCCCTTCCCACCCATCCTCCCCAGTCCTTTTTCCTTTGGTAGATGTTAGTCCATTCTTGGGTTCTGTGAGTCTGCTGCTGTTTTGTTCCTCCAGGTTTTTCTTTGTTCTTATACTCCACATATGAGTGACGTCATTTGATACTTGTCTTTCTCTGCCTGGCTTATTTCACTAAATGTAATACTCTCTAGCTCCATCCATGTTGTTGCAAATGGTAGGATTTGTTTCCTTCTTATGGCTGAATAATATTCTGTTGTGTATATTTACCACATCTTCTTTATCCATTCATCTTCTGATGGACACTTAGGTTGCTTCCATTTCTTGGCTATTGTAACAGTGCTGTGATAAACATAGGGGTGCATATATCTTTACAAACTGGGCTCCTGCATTCTTAGGGTAAATTCCTAGGAGTGGAATTCTTGGGTCAAATGGTATTTCTATTTTGAGTTTTTGGAGGAACCTCCATACTGCTTTCCACATGGTTGAACTAATTTACATTCCCACAAGCAGTGTAGGAGGGTTCCCCTTTCTCCACAACCTTGCCAACATTTGTTGTTGTTTGTCTTTTGGGTGGTGGCCATCCTAACTGGTGTGAGGTGATAATCTTATTGTGGTTTTAATTTGCATTTCTCTGGTGATTTGCAGTGTGGAGCATCTTCTCATGTGTCTGTTGGCCATCTGAATTTCTTCTTTGGAGAAGTGTCTGTTCAGCTCCTCTGCCCATTTTTTAATTGGGTTATTTGGTTTTTGTTTGTTGAGGTGCATGATCTCTTTGTATATTTTGGATTTCAACCCCTTATTGAATATGTCATTTATGAATATATTCTTCCATACTGTAGGATGCCTTTTTATTCTACTGATGGTGTCCTTTGCTGTACAGAATCTTTTTAGTTTTATACAGACCCACTTGTTCATTTTTGCTTTATTTTCCCTTGCCCAGGGAGATATGTTCATGAAGAATTTGTTCATGTTTATATTCAAGAGAGTTTGCCTATATTTTCTTCTAAGGTTTTATGGTTCCATAACTTAAATTTAGGTCTTTGATCCATTTTGAGTTTACTTTTGTGTATGGGGTTAGACAATGATCCAGTTTCATTCTCTTACATGTTGCTGTCCAGTTTTGCCAACACCAGCTGTTGAAGAGGCTGTCATTTCCCCATTGTATATCCATGGCTCCTTTATCGAATATTAATTGATTTTATATGCTTGGGTTATTTTCTGGACTCTCTATTCTGTTCCACTGGTCTATGGGTCTGTTCTTGTGCCAGTACAAAATTGTCTTGATTACTGTGGCTTTGTAGTAGAGCTTGAAGTTGGGAAGTGAGATCTCCCCTGCTTTATTCTTCCTTCTCAGGATTGCTTTGGCTATTCAGGGTCTTTTGTGGTTCCATATGAATTTTAGAACTATTAGTTCCAGTTTGTTGAAGAATGCTGTCAGTATTTTGATAGGGATTGCTTTGAATCTGTACACTGCTTTAGGCAGGTTGGCCATTTTGACAATATTAATTCTTCCTAGCCAAGAGCATGGGATGAATTTCCATTTATTAGTGTCCTCTTTAATTTCTCTTAGGAGTGTCTTGTTGTTTTCAGGTATAGGTCTTTCACTTCCTTGGTTAGGTTTATTCCTAGGTATTTTATTCTTTTTGATGCAGTTGCGAATGGAATTGTTTTCCTGATTTCGCTTTCTGCTAGTTCATCATTAGTGTATAGGAAAGCAACAGATTTCTGTGTATTAATTTTGTATCCTTCAACTTTGCTGAATTAAGGTATTAGTTCTAGTAGTTTTGGAGTGGATTCTTTCAGGCTTTTTATGTACAATATCATGTCGTCTGCAAATAGTGACAGTTTGACTTCTTCCTTACCAATCTGGATGCCTTTTATTTCTTTGTGTTGTCTGATTGTCATGGCTAGGACCTTCAGCACTATGTGGAATAAAAGCTGGAGAGTAGGCAACCTTGTCTTGTCCTGATATTAGAGGAAAAGCTTTCAGCTTCTCGCTGTAAAGTATCATGTTGGCCATGGTTTTGTCATATATGGCCTTTATTATGTTGAGGTACTTGCCCTCTGTACCCATTTTGTTGAGAGTTTTTGTCATTAATGGATGTTGAATTTTGTCAAATGCTTTTTCAGCATCTATGGAAATGATCATGTGGTTTTTTTCCTTTTTGTTGATGTGGTGGATGATGTTGATGGATTTTCCAATGTTGTACCATTCTTGCAACCCTGGGATGAATCCCACTTTATCATTGTGTATGATACTCTTCATGTATTTTTGGATTCAGTTTGCTAATATTTTGTTGAGTATGTTTGCATCTATGTTCATCAGGGATATTGGTCTGTAGTTTTCTTTTTTTGTGGTGTCTTTGCCTGGTTTTGGTAGTAGAGTGACGCTGGCTTCATGGAATGAGTTTGGAAGTACTCCCTCCTCTTCTATTTTTTGGAAAACTTTAAGGAGAATGGGTATTATGTGTTTTCAAAATGTCTGATAAAATTGAGCAGTGAATTCATCTGGTCCAAGCATTTTGTTCTTGGATAGTTTTTTGATTACCCTTCAATTTCATTGCTGGTAATTTGTCTATTTAGATTTTCTGTTTCTTCCTGGGTTGGTCTTGGGAGGTTGTATTTTTCTAAAAAGTTCTCCATTTCTTCTAGCTTATCCAGTTTGTTAGCAAATAGATTTTCATAGTATTTTCTAATAATTCTTTGTACTTCTGTGGTGTCCGTTGTGATTTTTCCTTTCTCATTTCTGATTCTGTTTATGTGTGTAGATTGTCTTTATTTCTTAGTAAGTCTGGCTAGGGATTTATCTGTTTTGTCATTTTCTCAAAGAACCAGCTCTTGGTTTCATTGATTTTTTTCTATTTTATTCTTCTCAATTTTATTTATTTCTTCTCTGATCTTTATTATGTCCCTCCTTCTCCTGACTTTGGGCCTCATTTGTTCTTCTTTTTCAGTTTTCAATAATTGTGAATTTAGACTGTTCATCTGGGATTGTTCTTCCTTCTTTAAGTATGCCTGGATTGTTATATACTCTCCTCTTAGAACTGTCTTTGCTGTGTCCCACAGAAGTTGGGGCATTGTGCTGTTGTTTTCATTTGTCTCCATATATTGCTTGATCTCTGTTTAAATTTGTTCATTGATCCATTGATTATTTAGGAGCATGTTGTTAAGCCTCCATGTGTTTGTGAGCGTTTTTGCTTTCTTTGTACAATTTATTTCTAGTTTTATACCTTTGTGATCTGAGAAGTTGATTGGTATAATTTCTGTGTTTTTGAATTTACTGAGTCTCTTTTTGTGGCCTAGTATGTGGTCTGTTCTGGAAAATGTTCCATGTGCACTTGAGAAGAATGTGTGTCCTGCTGCTTTTGGGTGTAGAGTTCTGTAGATGTCTGTTAGGTCCATTTGTTCTAATGTGTGTTTCAGTGCCTCTGTGTCCTTACTTATTTTCTGTCTGGTTCACCAAGTGTAACTTAAAGTCAACTTCTAACTGCAGTTCTGCCAGTTAATGCTTTACAAATGTGAGGCTGTTTTGCTGATTTTATATATACTTATGATTATTCTATCTTACTGCTCCATTTTTTAAAATTATATAAAACTTCTTTTCTTTTGTCCTTCATGAACTTTTATTTAAACCTTAACTTCTATTTTGCTGTGTATTGAGATTGTTGCCCAACTTTCTTTTGGATCATATTTGCCATCTAGTGAATCTTTACACTTTTTAAAATTTCAACCTTTCTGTGTCTTCCTGCTTGTCTTGCTAATTGGCTTCAGCCCTGGGCAAGTTCACTATGAATTCAATGTGACCAAAGAAATTGACAGCAAAATGTTCTTTGGGGTGAAAAGGTTTATTACCCGCTTCTTCTCCCGTTGGTAGGTCAAGCACTAGTGTCTTGGCCTCCACCCAGAGCACTGGGCCAGCTCTCTATATAGCACAATAATAGGTATTGCCTAAAGGTGTGGAAGCGGCAGCCCAGCAACAGGCCGGTTACATCATGAGGTGGTTTAAGTTCAGTGAGGACCCTGGCCATAGGAACCATGACTTCCCCACACTGCTTTAAGTATATTTATTGTAAATAACACATGGTTTGGTCTTTCTGTTTCCTTCATTATGAGAGCCTCTGTCTTTTAATTGGTAACTGCTGACATATTAGGCTTATTTTTTCAACTCATTTCACACTTTGTATTTATTGTTTATTATTTCTTCCCTTTTCTCACTTTTCATTAAAAGTTATATATAGTGATTCTCTTCTTGAATGAGGTGTATACTCATGTTTACTTACATTTATTGATTTCTTAAACATTTTAATATTTATACCTTGCTCCCAAATTCTTTGGCATACTCTTATGGCCTTTTGATTTTCTTTTAAAACATATTTTGCTTCCAGGTTTGTTGAGGTATATGTGACAAATAAAAATTGTATATACTTAAGTGGTACAACGTGACTTTTTAAAAGGTGTAAAATGTGATGATTTAATATACATGTACATTGTAAAATGATTGCCTCAATCAATTAACACATCCATCATCTGCCCTTTTGAGTTTTTCCTTCTGTAACCCAAGTAAATACTAATCCCCTCACCAAATGGATATTATCTGGATTTTAAAATATGGAGTTAGACACACACACACACACACACACACACACACATGCACGTACTTACCCCTTTAATATGGTCCTGGATTTGTTGACAAATCACCCTTATTCCTACATTCTTTGTTGTAACTTCTTTAATTTGACTCTTACTGGAGTACTTCCTCCAAGATTGTTTTTAATATTGGTCTTTGGGTTCTAAGGCATTGTGTGCATAAGACTGTATTTATTATGCCATCTTATTTGAATAGCAATTTAGATGTATATAAAGTTCTAGGTTCAAGCTTATATTCTTTCACTAATAGAACTATTATTTTATTTTCTTCTTGCATCCACAGATGCTGCTGAAGAATCTTATGTTGATCTAATTCTTACTCTGTGATAGATGATCTGTTCTTTCTTTTGTGAGCTTTTGGCATATTTCTGTGTCTTATTATAATGAGCCTGGCTGTGGAATTTTTCTTATTGTTCCTATTCTGTACTCTTTGAGCACTTTATACTGAGGTCTTTTATCTTTCTGTAATATTGGTAAATTCACTACTCATTACTTCCTCGAATATTCTCTCTCTCTCACTTGTTTCTGTCCTCCGTTTTGTGGACTCTTATGTTTGTGATGTTTCTAGTCTTTCCCGCCCTCTGCAGGGAGGCTTCTCTCTTTACGTAGACCTCGCTGGTTATCCTTTAGCTCTGTACATCCTGCTGCTTCTCCCATCCCCGGTATTTGTCACTTATGCTGCTAACACTTTTAATAGCTAATATTACCTCTGTTTTTTTGAATTATGGGTTTTGCTTTATGTTGTTGATGATCTTTTAAGTGTATTTACCATCTTATTTTAAGTTCCTGATTCATCTTTTTCACTATTCTGTGTGATAGTGTATGGTGTTCAATTTGTTATCTGTGTTTCGCAGCGTTTTTAGTCCTTCGGTGTCTAATTCTGTGGGTCTGTGAGCTCAGGTCTCCATGAAGACAACAGCCGTTTGTGAGGTAATATGTAACGGGAGAGAGAGGAGTCAGGCCCTGACGGTCTGTGTCCTCCCAGGTCCAGCCTGGATCTGGTAAAGAAGCACTGTGGCTCTCCCTGTTTGCAGTTACTCTATCAGCCAGCTTTTAGGAAAAGCACAGCTGGTTGTAATCTGTGTTTGCAATCCACCAGCTGAGAGGTGGCAAGAATGGAGAAGTGAATATCCCAAAGCCCTCACCTAGTTTTATCTGTTTCGGGACCTACACGGCGCTAATGCTGCTCTGATTCCTGTTCCTGTGTGAAGGGGAGGCAAAGATGGACCCAAAGAAGTGAAGGAGGTAAGAGGAGAATTTAAAAAGGTCTTCCCGCAGCCTGCCCACCCACTAGTTTCCTTCCCAGGATGCAGCCCTCCCCGCTCCCTGTCGACATACACAGTCCAAGGCAGCAATTCTGCCTCCTGGCAAATTCTAAATATTTCCCATTTGTTGTTTCATTGTTGCTAGTTTCCCAAATGCTTGTTTCCCTTTGCCAAAATTAATTTTGTGTGAGGGAACCAGGAGCCTGAATCTACCTCTTTGCTCTCTCAAAAAGAAACTGGAAGCTTTATTTCTGGTTCTCCAAGGACAGAGTGGCAGGTGACACTCAACAGCTCACAAGCTTCCTGATCCCCAGAGTCCTGCCCATGTGGCCTGGACTAATGGACTGCCATGCCCGTGCCTGGTGCCGAGTGGGATGATGAGTGGGAATTCTGATCTGTCTATGCTCCAGGGATAGGAGAGAACGGGAACTTGGAGATTCATGACGTAAGGTGTGTGGTACTGAGTAGGAGAGAGACATGTTTGTGTTGAGCCCTTTGTACTCCATTGAGCCCTTACTGGACGCACCTTCAGGAGGGTTTTAGTTCACAGAATCCAGGAGGAGTGCTTCCAGCTGGGGCCTCCAGGAGGTGATTAGGTCGTGGGGGTGGAGCCCCCCTGAATGGGATTAGTGTCCTTGTAACAGAGACCCCACAGAGATCCTCTGCCCCTTGCACTGTTTCAGGAGCTCGTGAGAAGGCACCACTGTGAACCAGGAAGGGGTCTCTCACCAGGAGACCATGCTGGCACCTTGACTTGGACTTTTCAGTCTCTGGAACTGTGGGAAATAAATTTCTGTCTACAGGCTGCTCTTTCTCTGGTGTTTTGTTATAGCAGCTCAAATGGACAAAAAGCTTTCCCAGTTAAAAGGTATTTAAGCACTTATATATGCACATGTATTTATTTATAAATATCATAAGTTATCCACATGTGCTAGTAATACAATTTGATTACACACACTATAACACATATCAATAGTTTAAAAGCTGCCAAGTAAATCTAAATGGAAATTCCAGTATTTCCTTCCCATACTCCAAAGGATCTCTTCTGCATGCCCTACAGCGTGCACACTCCATTTTGAAAACCGGTGCTTTAGAAAACAGTTCGTGCCTGTATATAATTAAATGTAAATGAACTGAATAAAATTCAGAAAATGAAATGTATTCAATATATAGTTCAAATAAAAAACATTTGCACAGGCTATTAAGAGGCAGACAACACAGGACAAAAGAACACAGTGGAAAGAAGCCCCGGATAAAATTTAAACACGACTTCCTCTGGGAAGCCGTTTTCCCGCCCTTGGATGGGTCTTTGCTGACATCTACAGGCTACAATTTGCCAGTGATTTTACTTGACCTTTACACTCGCTTGCTTCATCTGTTTAAATGGTGTCCTGTCATTGCTAAGGAGAAGCTAGAGCTTAGAGAAACCAGAAAAAGCTTGCAGAAGGCCACACCACTACTTGGGGGCCTTATTTTAATATGTAACAAATTGCGTGTGATTATTCTTTTCCAGAAGGAGTTATTACAGGCTTTCTTAAAGTAACAAGCCTCTCTCTGCTTTCCAGAAATTATTCAAGCCCTTGCCCTTCTTCTGGAGCAATTACTAAAACTTCCTAGGATTCTTCTCCTATCTATTCTAGAATTTTTGGGGAAGCATGGCAACAGCATTTTAGAATAAACTGTTGGTCTCTGGGCCCCGGAGACCCCTACCATTTCTCTATCCTTTTAATTTCCAGCTTCCCCTTTATTTCCACAACTCAGGAGTTCTGCCCAGTCACCATGTCATTTAATTCAAACTTGCTGATTTAGTTTTTGAAATGGTTTTGAAATAATTTCAAATCAGAAGTAATACCTGCTCATACCAAAAATGCAAACAATCTAGGCTAAGTGGGAGGAAATAATCACCTTGAATTCTTCCACTCAGAAACAGCTATTGTTAAATTATTATTATTCCTTAAAAAGGTGACAATTCTTTTGGGAATCCTCCCATGCCCAGGCATAATGAGAAGTAGGTATATAAATAGGCAGAAGTAAGTGCGTGAAAGATTGATTTTTATTTGGAGTTAATAGGAAAAGAATGGAATAGTACTAGAGGAATTGCTGAAATTCAGGTAAATGTTTCTTCATTTGAAAAGACCAGTTTCTGAATTATTTCTGAAGGCTAAGAAAAATGTAAACAAAAATTAACCTAATGAAATTCTCACAAATATGCTTAAATTGACATAAACATAAATGTTCATTGTGGCAAAAACAAATGAAACCAAACAAAATCAAGATAAACACAAAACACAAAGCACAATCAGGAAACCAACATAAACTCCATCAATAAACAAATCAGTACATTGTGGCACAGTCATATAATAGTACACAATATAACACTTTAAAGGGATGAACTTGAGTTACAGCTGTCAACATAAAACTATAAAATACAATGTTGAATGAATAAAAAGTAAAATACATAGATAACATTTTATTAAACTTAAAACTGTGTAATACTTTATAATGTTTAAGGATTCATGTTTAGCAAAAGTGTTAAGACATGCATAGTAATGATAAAATGGACTTCATGCTGGGTGGTCACTCACATCTGGGGAAGGAGAAAAGGAAGAGTCCAGGGGCACCAGTGGTATTAGAGTCATTAATATCTTAAAAATAGATTTGAAACAAATAAGACAAAGTATTAAGATTTAATAAAGCTGGGTGTTTGGGCAATGATGATCATTAATCTTTATGTTTGAAATAAAAAAATTTAAAAAATCACGAGATTGGAAAACTAATGGATTTTTAAAAATACGAAGCATAAGAATGAAGTCAGTTGTTGACATAATTAATAATAGCTGATTCTGTTAGATCTAGACAGAATTAATTAGAACTTATTCTGTTATGGATTATAAAACTACAAAGTGTGACCAGGAAGGCAGATATCCTATAACAGGAAGCATGAAGAACATGGAGTACATTTTATGTTGTGATAATTAATATTAAATATTTCTAGCATGCAGAAAATACAGGGAACAATACCCATGCACCTACTACTCAAATACAGCTGTGCGGTTTGCACCTGGCTTCAGTTCTACGTTTTTTCCCCTCCTCCATGCAGTCACCCGTTTAAAGTTAGTGGTATATCATTCTTTGTTATGTTTTGAGAATTGTCCTCATGAAATATGTACACTTAGTTTATTTTAATGGTTGTAAAATACAATATGAATACAACACAATGTTATTTACTAGTTTATCCACTGATGGGACATCCCCTAACTACTAAATACAAACAAGGCTGCAATGGACATCTTTATGCATACTTCTTGGGCACATCTATGAGAGATTCTCTAGGGCTATGGGGCATACCAGTAGAAATAGATTTGTTGAGTTGTATGAAATTTGCACGTTCAAATTTATTCTGCATTGTATATGTGAAGTAAGTAGTTTTAAAAAGCAGGGAAATGAATTAACTTTTCCACCAAGAGTATATGCAAACTCATGTTTCTCCATTATCTCTCCACTAGTACTTGGTATTGTCAGACTACCTACTCTGAGATAACGAAGTTATTCTCCTACACTGGCTTCCAACAGCTTTACTTTTTTATATTTAGACCTTTAATTCATCTGAAATTTATTTTTGTGATGGTGTGAAGTAGGGATCTGATTTTTTTCTTCTTCTGTGGAGACAGCCAATTTTCTTAGAACCATTAACTGACTTGCCCACCAGTTCTCAGAGTGTGGCCAGAGGATCCCTGGGGAAGTGAGGGCCATGAAATTCTTTGAAAGAGCCCACAAGGTCAGAACTATTGATGATACTAAGATGTTATTTGTCTAATCCACTTTCACTCCCAGGAGTAGACAGAGTTCTCCAGAGGCTACAGCGACATCTGATGACATCATTTCTCTAACAGTGAGTGAATTGTGTGCTGTATATTGTATTTACTAGGATGTTCTAAGGTAGTGAGTTTAGGATGTAAAAATGTACACTTTCAGATATGAACTCTGTTCTCAGTATTTCTAATGTGCTCCAACCAGCTCTCTTCAGTTACATCTGCTTTAATCTCTGTAATCTCATTATCTTTCAAGAAATCATTATTTTTAAATCCCAGTGTTTTTCCTGCTTTGATACAGAATTAAGTTTATCTTGTTTTACAATATCAAGATATTTTTCAAAAACATTGTTAATTTTATATTCAAAATTTTATATGAATTGTATTATTTTAGGATTGTTTTATTCTAAAATAAAAGAAAACATTATTATAATCCATTTTTCTTATGTATAAGGATGGATTGTTGGCTTTAAAAAGGAGGTTAGAAGACCAGTTCTCAACCTATGTCTATGGTGCCTGTGTCTGAAAAACATGAAACTGATCAGCACGTTCTCTAATTCATGGAAAGGAAGAATATATTTCAAAGAAACTGGGAAAACTTGTAAATATGAAAAAGAATGTCAAAAGGTATCTTTCCTTCAGCTTTACATATGTTAATAATTTATCTTTTTGTGCCTTAGACAAAAGAACATTTTCAAAAACGAATGTGGTTCTAGTTATGCTGCACCATAATTTGGGATCCAATCATTCAGGGTTTAAAGAAAAGGAATGAAATATTTTACATGTAGAGCTGACCCTGACAAACTCTTAGAAAGCTTTCACGGGGTAAGTTATCAAGTCGCGTCAGCCAGAGGAGCTTACCCAATAGAATAGCAGAGAGACGAATCAAGCCCTGTACAATGGCATTGCCGAACACCTGCTGGATGAAAAATCAGCATAAGGAGGCCTAGCACTGCCACTTCCCAATGATGCAGTAACTTATCAAATTAAAAATTCAACTGCAATCATAAAAGACTGAGTTAATATCTCATGTGAAAAATTGTGCCTTTGTCTTACCAATGGACTAATCTGTAGATGTGCATGGACGTGCTGTTTTGCTCACACTTATTTTGTCCCCAGCACCAACTAATCATTGCTTTGTAACAAACACAGGGGTGCTGAAACATTGACAGTATTGTATAATCTTTTTTGAATCTGATGGTTTCTTCCTCAACAACCGTGTTGAGATTTGCACTGATGGAGCAAAACACGTAGTGGGTAATAACCTTGATATGCTTAACACAAATCAAGATAATGGTATCAAGCTGTATTAATAGTCATTGTATTCTTTACCACCACATTCAGTTTTCAAAAAGGTGGCTTCACTAGAGGATGTTCTTGATCAATCAGTAAAAATTATTTTTGTTAAAACTCAGCTGTTGAGTCCGTTAAAAAATTAGTCTGTGTGATGAACTGAGAAGGGCCCGTGAAGCACCACACACAGTGGTTGTCTCTAGGAAAAACACTTTGAATCGCAAGCTGAACTAGCTAGTTTTTTCATGAAACACATTTTTCACTTGGAAAAACAAACAAATGACAGAAAACTGGTTATTCACACTTGCGTGTTTGGCAGCCATTTTCTTCAAAATGAGCACAGTAAGCCTGTCCCTCCAGGAAAATAACTAATCATGTCTGTGGCCAACAACAAAATTGAAGCTCTCACCTGAAAATTAGAACTCTGGGAAGCCTGCGTCTGCTGCTGTGGGACACTTAAAAACTTTTCTGATGAGATCAACAACAATGTTAATGAATGTGATCTTTTGATACTGTATAAGTTGTGTTACTATTTCAAATATCTGCCTAACTGTGAACTGATGTTTTCTAAAGACCCATGCATGACACTGCAGAATCATGCATGCACAAAAGATCCTCTCAAAGTGCAAGGCTGGCCAATAGATTTCAATAACTTCCTGTCATTTATTCCCTGAACCAGAAAGTATAGACTCATTCTACATTCTTACAACTCCCTTTCCCTCAGCTCTTCATTTTATTACTCAAAACTTTAGTGAAATTTCACCTCCCAGACAGCTGTAAGTATATTCTTTCCTCTTCATTACTATTCTAATGCCTTCACCCAGTACTTTGGTGATTTTACTTGTTCTATAATAAATGTCAGATCTCTCAACAGAGCATGCCAGGCATTTCTTGTTCTTGCCACTGCCCACTTCTCCCACTTCTGTTTCACTTTATTCTCCAATAAGTGGATCTAATTATAACTCTTTATAGAAAACATGCTGACTTATGACTCCCTGCCTTTACATTCATGTGCTTTCCTTTGCCTGGAATGTCCCCCTTCTGCTTAACTGGAAAACTCCAAGTGACATCCATCAGAATTCCATTCAGATATCTCACTTCAGGAAGCTTTTCCTGAGCTGAATCACATCAGTCAGGGTTCATCACTTAATTTTTCTGGATTACCTTGTTTTTTATTTTTTCTATTGTTGGACTCACTATTCTGTCATATGTTGGCTCTGTGGAATTCTTGTTACAAAATTATCTTTTGGGTTGAGGCTGTTTACCTTTATTGAGTAATACTATAAGAAACAGGTCTGTGAAATTCTCTTTTGGGTTTCCTAAAACAATATAGTTAGGAGGTTGTTCACTTAATTGTCAATTTCCTTTTTCATAGGGACTTGAGAAATATATTTCTGGTCTTATGTCAGTTACTCTTTGAATTTGTTTTATATGATCACTGCTTTTAACACCTTTTTGAGTTGGCTGCTGGAAATTTTTGAGCCAAAATTGTGGCCCACCTTTAGCAAACCCAAGATTTCATGCAGTTAGCCTCATTTCAGACTCTAGTGAGGCATCTCGCTTCCTGGGAAGTGAAGTGTGGCATAGCCGGGTTTTCCATATTGGCAGAGAACTGGGAAGCAGTGTGGGAACTACACAGGTGCAGAGCCTGTGGCCCGCGAGGGTCGCTTTTTCTGTCTGCAGTGCAGCTGTTGCCCTCTGGAGGCTGGACAGGTGGGGGACAGTTGGTGCTGGAGAAGCTCAGGGAAGCCATACGATTGTGCTTTCTCTTCTAGTATATGTTATTTTTCCCTTGGAAGGGGGTTTTTGGGTAATTTTCAACTTACCCAAGTTGCTAATTATTTTTTCCATTGTTTGATATGAGCCTTTTTTTCCTTCCTGTGTAAAAACCTGGACTAGTTGAGAAGTGGGAATTGAGGTATCCAGAGGGTCCAGAACCCCAAACTCCAGCTGTTTTGGTGCAGAAGCTGCACATTCCTTGATAAAAGAAAAGGGCCCTGGGAAGATGCCCAGGTGTACATTTTCCTCTAGAGGAAATGCAGATGGGTTTGAATGTCTTTACAGTGGGACATTTAAAGGCCTGGACTCTGCTTTGTGTTGCTCAAGGATTGGTGTGACTATACTATGGCTGTCGGGAAAGGAGCCTCATTTGGAAGGTGCTTCTAAATTAGGGTGAGGTCCTCATCTGCAGGATATTAGAAAATGAAAAACAGTGCCTGTCAGGTTAATGGAACTCCTGTTTTTATTGATTTCAAGAGATTATTATTAATTTATATAAATCCAAAACAGGAGTCTCAAATACATCCAAGGGCAAAAAAAAATTACATCAAGATTCCCAATTTAAATGTTCATAACATCTAGGAAAAACTCCAAGCTGCGTTAAAATCAAAGCACAGGATCTGTGAACCTGGATTCTACTGTCACCCTGTTTTCAAAAGACTGCAGAGGAAAGTTCCAAGCTGGAACCTACAAGATTAGATTAAGTAAGTTAGAGAAATTAGCCTTCAGGGGACAAAATCTTTTAATGATTTTCTGCCTGGAAAAACTGACTTCCAAATTTATAAAAAGTATATACTTATTATAAAACTTTGGTTGAAAAGTAAATATTATACTCTGACAAATGTAGGATGAAACAGAACAAATCTGTGTAAAAATAATTGTTATTAATGGTCTTGTTGTCCAGTATAAATATTTTCAGTCCCTAAAATGTTTTTGAATGAGAAAAGGGAAAATTTAATTCTGGTTTAATGGCCTCAGTATCTCCGCTAAGAGTCTCCGCTAAAAATCAAAGATATGCAACTTGACTGTAGACCAATAATTAGTGGTCATAAGAAGACTTAAAAAATCCCTCTGCATTAAGAATTTCAACCAGTACTTGGAGGATTACTCAGTAAAATAAATTCAAGAGAACTTAATTTTAATCTAAGTTAATTTAATATTCCTGATCTGGACAAACACTTCTGTAAATTAAGTTGTTTTGTGTATTTTGACTTCAAAAATATATCCCTACTCTGATTTTACCATGTATAAAATACAAATGCAATCATAGCAGTTTAGTCCATTTAAAACCATGCCACCATTAAAAAAAAAGGTTTATATTTTTGAGCAGGTTTAGGTTTACAGAAAAATTGAGTGAAAAACACAGCCAATTCCCATATGCCCCCTCACCTCCCACCTCCTTTCTTCTATTAAAAAACCTGGCATCAGTGTGATACACTTCTCCAACTGATGAGCCAGTATTGATACATCATTAAGTAGAGCATGTAGTGTATGTACATCAGGGTCCCCTCCTGGGGTGCACATTCTGTGCGTTTTGACAGATGCAGTCAGGTATCCACCATTCAGAAAAGCTTCACTGTGCTAAAAATAGTGCCCTGAATTTCACCTATTCATCCCGGCCCCCTCTTCCCCTGGCAATAGCTGATCTTGTTACTCTCTCCACGGTTTTGCCTTTTTCAGCAAGTCATATACTTGGAATCATAAAGTTCATAGCCTTTTCAAATAGCTGCTTTCACCTATCACTGTGCATTTAACTTCCCTCCCTGTCTTTTGGTAGCTTGACAGCTCTCTCTTTTTTAAATTGTGGAATAACATTCTACTATGTGAATAGGAAAAAAATGTTTATCCATTTATCTATCGAAAAACATCTTGGTACTTGCAAGTTTTGACCACTTCCCTTTCTTAAAATTGAAATGTTAGACTAAATGGAACATCCTAAATTTCATTTATTTCCCTTACAGAGAAGGCTATTTGTTATTTCTTAAATTAACATCTAAGAGTGTGTACATGCTGTCATGGTGGTCAGACTGAGATAGAATCTACATATTCAATATTACAGGTGATGTGGGCTCCTCAGTTATACCACTTACAGTATCTTGTAAAAGTTAAGTTGTCATTTTTCTCTGAAAAATTCTTAGTATCAGTGTGACTATTTTTTCTTTAATAATACCCTAAAGTCATTTCTAAAATCTCAAACTGCCTTTGGGACCTTGGCCTGGCCAGACTTCAGCCTGGATTTTTGCTGCACCTGAGCGTGGGTTTCCCTTCTCGGATGTCTGCTGACACTGTAATGACTCTCAAGACTGAGTAGACTATTATAAAAACAAGAGAGGGAGAAGCTTACATTTCTAACAGTCCTGCTAAGGACATTGTAAAATGTTTAAATCTGGTTAATAGCACAACTAATATTTTTCTACAGAATTCAAAGACTCACTCATAATATTCACTGGACTGTTGTAACGATTCACAAAAGACTTAAAGTTTCTAGATGCTGAGGCTGCTGCCTGAGTCCACTGAGGATCAAGGGGGAATCGCTGTGCTCTGTGGGAGGGCTGGACAGGATGTGTCGAGCAGCTGGGCAGCTGGAGCGAAACCTCCCTCAGTGTTCAGGACATGGAACCGGTCTAACTTTAGGGTGTTGATACTTCTTTGGTTCACTTTAGGGAAAAACAAAACAAAACAAAACAGAACAGAGGTTCCTTCCTGCTTCTACAACTTATTTCTCTGCTTTACCCACCACGGCCCTGTGTTTGTACCAATGCTTGTAACAGTCCCCAAGAGCAGCAGTCTTCAAACTGGATTCCTGTATTTCTGGGGGTATAGGAGAACTGTCCAAGGGGTACATAGGCTAAGAAAGCTTTAAGGGACTCTAAACCTCCAACATCCACACACACACATTTTAAAAAGTGATGTACTTAATAAAAATGCTTGTTGTTTCAAGCCACTTTTAAAAAATGCGATGTGCCTGTGGCTGCTCTCAGGGTGCTCTTTCCCCACGCTTCCTTCACAGTTACTTTCCTCCCGCTTTACAGAAGAAAGGTGGGCCGCTCACCTATTACAAATATAATTACGGTGTTCTGACCTGGGAGTGAAATACTTCTGAGTACCAAAGAAAAGGGCACACCAAGCCTGTGTCCACGAAGCTTCCTTTAATCACAGCTTTGTGTCCTTGTTTGTCTTGTATGTCTCTCTCTGTTAAGGGCAATGATTCTCAACCATTTTGCCCCCTGACAGTATCTGGAGACATTTTTGGTTGTTATAACTGAGAGGCTGGGGTTGGGAATTGGTGTTACTGGCACCTAGTAGGTAGAGGTGGGGGATGCTGGTAACCGTCCTACAGTGGCCAGGCCAGCCCACCATGATGAGGAATTGTTCAACCCCAAATGTCAAAAATGGTCTGGTTGAGTAAACTTGTGTTAAGGGTGACATGTGGCATAAGAAACGGGGGAGCTTCAGCCCATGATACAACATTTTGGATTTAGGTAATCTCTCAGCAGAGAAGCTGGAATGCTGAGAAGTTTTCATCTGATGACCTTGATGCGTCCTTTCCTAATAACTGAAGAATGAATGGCTCCTTAGCTTTGGCAGGCAATGCTGATGGTCGTGGTTTTTTAATTTCATTTAGAGGATGAACTCATGTGAAGTTCCAGTTGTTACTTGTTTTAGAATGAAAATACTCTTAAATTTATAAAAATCATGTAAAGCAATACTAACTTGCTACAGAGCACGCTAAGTACGAACAAAGACCCACTCCCTCATGTCTCATCTGTACTCGCTTATTTTGCATGATTTCAAGGCATCGAAGGCAACAGTCTTGACATTTATTTCTGACAGATCAACATCATGTTTTACAGTAAAATAAACACATATTGGGGGTACTTTAATATATGTTTTCCTGAACTTACTCAGACTCATAGGAGTCTGAAAAAAAAGTTATAGCTTTTACCAAATATTACTGGATGATATGAATACATTTTTCTACTTGGGTACAGGTCCCCAATACACTGTTACTTTTCTGCACATTTGTTTATTTTTATCATATACCCCCTGGATTCAGAAGAATCCAATGGAAATGTTTTGTGGTTCTGCTGTAAATAATGCACATAGCAATCAATAAGAGGATTTTGTAAGCTTATTTATACTCATTGATAATCTAATACCTTCTCTTCATTTTGCTGAAATGTTCATTTCCACTAAGTAGATTAAACTGGATTCTTAAAAGCAGAAATCTACTTATGTATGTATCCAAAACAAAATGTTCCCAAATGCAATGTGGAGGTGATATTCTAAAGTTTAGAAATCCAGGTTCATTTATTTGGGATTAATTTCTCCTTGGATGTTGACACACTGTTCTACATCTGTCAAACACATAATTATAAAATTAATCATTTTCTACAAAGAAACAAAATCTCTCTCACACACACAAAAACATACTAGTTTCAAGGGTCCATCTCTTTGTCATACTTTGTAGAGGTAATTCCAGATGACATAAAAAATGGGAAAGAGGTCTTTATTCAGAACCAATTGATTTTTAATTTCCAATTTTGTGGGTCTGTGTCTTCCTAACTCGTTTCATCTAATTTGAGTTTCACAAACCAGGTATCTCTAAGTGAAATACGAACAGATACATTTACTTATTATTTCACTGGAGTCTGTAAAGCCATCTTGGTAGACTTCTAAGAACTGAGAGAGTGAAAGAATCTAATTTATGTGTAAAAACAGTTTGGCAAATCAGGTAGTTTCTAATTCTTGGCTTCAACGAAATTTAAGAACTCTACACTTGAGTTGTGGGATTATTAAAATAGAACTATAAAAATAGTTTTTAATAATAGCTTACTATGTGATTTTTTTTGGCATGTAAATAAGAAAATTTAAAAATTCGGTGGCTAAAACAAAGTCCTACTATAACAAAATTCTATTTCTATACTTACCTTGTTCTCATATAGGTGGACAAGATTCTCTAGTTCTTTCATGTTAAATTTTTTTTTTTTGAGAGGGCATCTCTCATATTTATTGATCAAATGGTTGTTAACAACAATAAAATTCTGTATAGGGAAGTCAATGCTCAATGCACAATCATTTATCCACCCCAAGCCTAATTCTCGTCAGTTTCCAATCTTCTGAAGCATAACGAACAAGTTCTTACATGGTGAACAAATTCTTACATAGTGAATAAGTTCTTACATGGTGAACAGTACAAGGGCAGTCATCACAGAAACTTTCAGTTTTGACCACACATTATGAACTATAAACAATCAGTTCAAATATGAATATTCGTTTGATTTTTATACTTGATTTATATGTGGATACCACATTTCTCTCTTTATTATAATTA